TGTTTCGAATATAGATGATGTTAGTACATTGAATGTTCTTTCAAAAAGTTCAAATAATAGTTTAACAGACAAAATATCTGAAACTATACAAAATATCAAAACAAAAAAACAAAAAGATTTTTACAAGTCTCAGATGCACATAAAAGAAATAATGAAACCGTCAACATCTTCTAAAAATAAGAAAATATGTTCTAATTCTCCCAAAAATACGCAAGTTATGATTGATGAAGACTCTAATGATGAAGATATTTTTGTCAACAGTACCAGTAAAAAAATAACCAACATATCAATAAAATCATCAACCTTGCCAATAACGGCTGTATCACCACCAAAGCCGTCAACTCAGATTTGTAATAGTCCATGTTTGAAACGAAAAACTTACACTTCACAAACACCATCTAGTGCTAAATTAGATACAGGGCAATTGGCAAGATTGAAATTGAGTGCATATAGATGTAACAAAAAGCCAACTAATTCAAACAGAGGTCAAGAACAATCAAATACATTGAATTCGTCAACAATCCAAAATGAACCATCCTCAGATTTGTCAAATATTTTCTCATTAGGAGATGAAGATGATTTATCATATTTGGATATAGATTGAATGTATTTTAAACATTAGAATATTATATAAAGTAAAAATATGTTTAGCCTTGTCTGAAGATTGTAAAAATGTATTGTTATTTTTTTTTTTAATTTAAAAATATTATAATGTGATAAATAATTAAATAATATAATATAAAACAATATTTGTTGTTAAAATAACTATTTTATTACTATTAAATTAATTTTTTTAGTACCATTTTAAGTTCTTAATTATACATACTTTGGATTTATATTAAAAAATTATGAACAATTTGAGACAGATTAATTTAAAAGTAAATGCTTATTATCAGATTATTTTACTACTTGTATCTGATATGTGAATATTTTTAGTAGGTACCTACACTAATTTATCTAATTTATCAAATTCATCAAATATCAAAATTACAATTAATTTTAACAAATTTTGCAACTTAATGTATTTTAATTTCATATTAGGTATATTACTATCTAAATAAAATTAATAAATTTAAAAAAAATGATGAGCTCAATACATTTTAGATTCTGGACRAAGTGATGAATGTATTGATTTTACAATGATGTGTGTTTTTTTTTTTTTTGTTTTTGTGTCTGTGTACAGCATAACTAGTAGAAGTAGAAATAATGCTTCTATTTCAAACTTTGAGGATGGTTTCCGATGTAAAAGTGAATATACTTGGTGCATTATAGAGGTCAAAAGTTAACATTTTCCAACAGTTTTAAAAAATCAAGAAAAACAAAAAAAAAAAATGACAGAAAAACAAGAATTTTTACGCAAAACCAGCTTTCGACCAAATCGATTTTTTTATATGGTTGTAATTCAAAAACTAATCACTGTAAATACTTGAAATTTTCACCAAATGTTTATGGTAGTGTTATCTATAT